CTACTTGAAATCTGTCCTCCCAAAACACTGAAGGGCTGGGGGCGCCTGGCTGACTCAGTTGGTTAAGCAACTGCCTTTGGCTCAGGTCATGATCACGGGGTCCTGGGATTGAGCTCCACGTTGGTCTCCCTGCTCTGCGGGGAGTCTGCTTCTCCCTCTCCCTCTGCCCTTCCCCTCACCCACTCATGCTCTCTCTCTCTCTAATAAATCTTTTTTTTTTTTAAGGTTTTATTTACTTGAGAGAGAGAGAGACAGTGAGAGAGGGAACACAAGCAGACGGAGTGGGAGAGGGAGAAGCAGGCCTCCCGCTGAGCGGGGAGCCCAATGCAGGGCTGCATCCCAGCACCCTGGGATCACGACCCAAGCGGAAGGCAGACGCTTAACAACTGAACCATCCAGGCATCCCATAAATAAAATCTTAAAAAAAAAAAAAAAATACTGAAGGCTGTCTTCTTGTCATTTAAGTAACAGCTCAAATATCACCTTTTTCTGTAGGGCCTTTGCCACCCACCCCAGTTAAAGCCATGTCACATGCCCACCCTGACCCTCTCTACCACAGGCTCCTAATCTACCTTTCTGGTAGCACTTAGTAGTTACAATGTTGTCTACTTGTTTACCTTCTGTTTGCCCAGAACTACAATATATAAGATCCACTATTCTTGTTCACTGTGGCACTCGCAGAGTCTAGAAGTGTTAGTCATATACTAAAGCTTTCAATGAACATTTTGGAAACAGCTAGTTAAAAGGCAACAATGCACTCCCCTAGTTCTCAAGATGGTGACTCTACTCTCTCTGCCCAAAGTTTAGACTCGACGTTTGTTGAAGTTTGCTTACTCATCCATTCAATCATTCATTCATCTACTCAACTCCAGTCACCAGCTGACTACAGGATACCGAGACCGGACTACAGTGACATGCAACCAGAACGACCCATTTCCTAATTCCCAAGGTGGTGGTGGTGGTGGTTGTTTTAACCTGGCACTTGACAGAACTTAACTTCTGCCAAATCTGTCAGACTCCATTGTAGTTAATGGCCATCTCGGACTTGCATGTGAGGTTACATGATGAGGAACTCAGCAACTCAGCACCTCAAGGCAAAACCAAAGACCTAAGAAACATATTTGCAAGCACCCAAACCCTTTTATCTACCATCCACAGTTGTGTGCACACAAATAAAAAATAAACACCAGAGAGTAAATGGGGCTTTTCAAAATGCTGACCTCCATTTTTTTTCTCTGTTTCTAACCTTACAAGCTGGTGGCAGGCACTTTTAAACAGTGGAACACTTTCGGAGCGCCTGGGTGGCAGTGGGTAAAGCCTCTGCCTTTGGCTCTGCCCCCCCCGCCCCGCCTGCCTCTCTGCCTACTTGTGATCGCTGTCTGTCAAATAAGTAAAATCTTAAAAACAAACAAACAAACAAAACAAACAAACAAACAAACAAACAAAAACAGTGGAAGACTTTCAACTTAAGGAGATCTGTTCTCAGGTAAGGAAGCATTAACAGTACCCTGGTGGATAGGCTGAGTCTCGATGCCGAAGGGAAGTAGTATAGCACAGGTGCTAGAACTCAGACTCTGGAATCAAAAAGGTACCAAAAATAAAAGGTACAGATTCAAATCACACCTGCTAATGACTAATGATAAGGCCCTAGGCAAGTTTATTTCATGTTACTTAGCTTAATTGTACTTAATTATATAGCCCTTACTAGGTACAGGGAGGGTTCTAGTTTGCAACTATAATACAATAATCAAATAAACCAGATGTACTATCATTATCTGTATCTTACCGGTGAGGGAACAGGTACGGAGAGGTCAAGTAATCTGCCCAGTCATGGCTGGGGAATATGAGAGTCAGCTTTCAGGTCCCGGTAGTACAACGCGAGAACCCAGTTCTTAAGCATCATACTGTGTTTCTTCTCCAATCCTGTTTCTTCATCTATTAGAGCCAATAGGTCTGCCTTAACTCACGGCATCATGTGGGATTACTGGCACACAGTAAGGTAAATGTTAGGTACTCTTAATGGCAGTAGAAACTGCCATCATTCTATTATTTACCTTCACCTTTGGTCCAGCTGAGGGCAGAAGAAAAATATTTTGGCTGAGAAAGATTTTCAAGGCCCTCTGCAGGAAAACACGTTGACTATGTAATAGAATACAGTATGGTAGAAGCATAGAGTAGAAGTTCCACGAGAATGGGAACTGTCTGCTTTGCTTATCATTGTATTTGAAGCAAGTGGTGGGTACTCAATGAATATGCGTGGAATGAGGTCGGAATAAACTAAATGCATGGACAGGGTTCTACAGACATGACAACTACAGCAGCACCATCACTTCTCAAATGTAGCTAAATACAAAAAAGGTAAACTTACAAGATTCTCAGAGGACAGTGTTAGCACGCCATTATTTAAGATAGCTTGGCTACTGAAGGCAGTGTGGTATGCTGCTTTTCATTCATCTTAGCTGAATGAACAAACGAGGACACCTGGATTTTAATCCTGACTCTGCTACTGGAAGTCACCCAGGCTTCCAAGGTCTTAGATTATCCATCTGTAAAAGAGGAGGCCGGACTACATGATGATCAAAAACAAATATATTCCATTTTCTTATCACTTCATAACAATCTGAATGGAACCAAGTACTCAGTAAGCATTTTTCAATGAAGATCATCCCCAATGATCTGTCAGGTGAGGAAACTAGAATCCAAAAGTAATTTGCTCAAGGTCACAGGGTCAGGAAAGAATATGAACTATGGCCCAGATCTCTTTCTATACTGGTCTAACACTAAAAGCTTTCCAAAATCCTTTAAAAAAAAAAAATACCGTGATATTAGTCCTCTCTTCCAAGATCACTAAATCTGTTAATCATTTAACCATCAAATAATATTGCCTGACTTCACTACATCATGGGGCAGCAGGATCAGGAAAAAACAACTACCTTTCTTTCTACATCATTAACCTAGAAAATCAAAAGTTCTAAAGAGAAAATTAGGGCAAACCCCTTGTCTTTGTCCAAAATTGAGAGATCAGAAGTATTTAAAACAAATGATGATTTCATTTTAAACCATATGGTCTAAATTTAAGCAATGTGATTAAAAAACACAAACAAAAACAAACCCTAGTAACACAATGCTTCCTGAGAGTGTAGCACATAACTTCTTTAATTTTATAATCAAAGCTATGCCACTTGATTCAAAGCAGATTCACAAAGTTAAATGTAAAAGATTGCCAGAGAATGTCTACTTTATTGCTTGCTTTATTTATTTTTTTTAAAGATTTTTATTTATTTATTTGACAGAGAGAGATCACAAGTAGATGGAGAGGCAGGCAGAGAGAGAAAGAGAGAGAGAGAGGGAAGCAGGCTCCCTGCTGAGCAGAGAGCCCGATGTGGGACTCGATCCCAGGACCCTGAGATCATGACCTGAGCCGAAGGCAGCGGCTTAACCCACTGAGCCACCCAGGCGCCCGCTTGCTTTATTTTTATTAATAAAATACATGCCTGACATTGAAACCTTCCATGTAACACCTTCCTAGTGTTATCAAGTTAGGAGTGAAGAAAACCATCTGGCATTCACAGTCAGTTTTCTAGATGGTTAGTAACAGAAGAGTCAAGGTCAAACTGTTGAGTCTCTTTATCCTCCTACCTCCTAAATGAAAAGCAACTGAGCTCAAAATACTCTATACTGGTACTCTCACAAATACAATGTCAGCTCAAGGATCACACTCTGGCTTAGAGAAGACAGGCTGACATGAACAACAACAAAAGGGTAAACAGGGCAGATGCTCCAAACAGCACCTCGGTGACTCTCAAGAGAGCACAAACTTTCACCTACTTTCTAGTAGTTTTATAGCCTATCCAATGGGAATTATATCACCAGATGATTATATGAATTAAATGATAAGATGAGGAATTAAAACAGTCTTACAATCTTGCACAGATGAGAGACTACTGCTACCATTACTATTTACTATGTCTGGGCCAAGAAAGCCCCCTCGCATTCTTGGCTGTATGTTCCGCAGGATCCTTTTAAAATGGAACAGGGTACCAATCTCGTCTACAGCCTCCAGGCCTCGCAATCGTAGAAGGCCCTGGTTAGCAGGGCTCTGCTGCCTAGAGATGGGAAGTGAGGCCTTCAGACTCTGGGCCTAGCGGGCTCCACAACGACCGCGCCCCCCAGTCACCTTGTCCTCACCTTGAGGAAGGGAAAAACACCCTACAAGAGAGCGGAGTGGAGTCCTCAAAAAGGGGTGCCTCCACTCTTCACCTGACAGCCGTTGCTTGGACCTACGCTCCCTACCGGGCGGGGACAAGACTGGGAGAGCGGAGCCGGGGACGCCTTGACCTCGGGCGCGGGAGGAGCGGACACCCGCGCTAGGCCCGCGGCCCGGACAGGTCCACGGAAAGTCGGCGGGAGGTCGGGCCCGCCTCGCCTTGCCTCGCCCACAGCCGCAGGCTCAGTAGGAGGCTCCCCGCCCTCGTGAACCCAGAGGGCCCTGAGCTCGCTCACCTGCAGCCGGGTCACCAGTAGGCTGTAAGGCGCCATTTTGTGCACTGACAAAGATGAGGTCGCGTAAAGATGACGTGAACCATGGCGTATTTAAAGCTTTGGGGCAGAGGCGTGGCCTGGAAGAGAAACGCGTAACGGCAAAGGCGGGGCCTCGGTAGAGGGACGAGAGCGCGGGGAGCTCATTGGGCGGAGCTCCCGTGTTAGAAACGGAGGCCTGAAAGGAAAAGAGCTGCATAAAAACACTTGCGGAAGTAAATACCAGACACAAAGATGTGCTATCGAAGGGCAAATTTCAGTTGTTTCTTCCATCCAAATCTGGGAAAGGCAATTTTTTTAATGACTTCCATGCATCTGCCAGGACCTGGCTCCCAAGCCCCGACGGAAACTCCTCTATTTTTTAACTTAAGGCTTAGATCGCGCGAGAGCGAGCGCGGGCGAGTGAGCGCGAGCGGGTCTTGATGAAGCCTGGAGAACCAATCACGGCGACCGGGGGGGCTGGAAAATGGAGGTTAAAGTTCGGACGGAAGTTCTCTAAACTTCCGGTGGCCGGCTTGCGCTGGAACTATGGCTAAACATCATCCGGATTTGATTTTCTGCCGCAAGCAGGCTGGTGTTGGTGAGGCAGCTTCCTGCACCCGGCTGTCAGGGTGGGGATGGTGTCAGGAGCTGGAGGGTGGGAGGTGGTCAGAGGTTCCGATCTCATCCTTAGGGTTTTGCCTCGGAGGCGCCACGTTTCCCGCCTCACGGTTGGTAGCATGGGAGCGCGCACGTTTGTGGTCTCTGATGCGAAGAGGGCGGGGGCGCGCGTGCTGGGAGTCAGGCGGGCGGCGGGAGCGAGGTCCGAGGAAGCTCAGATTGCCCAGGACCTGAGAGCGGTCTGAGAAGGGTGTGGGTTTGCTTCGGATGGAAGCTTGCGGTGCGGGTTAGATGGATAGGAGCCCTTAGGGCTCACTGCAGTCCCTGCTGTGTCGCCACCCCAGACTCGAGGATCTTTCCCCTCTTCGTCAAAACCAATTCTAATTGTATTCTTTACCATCTTTGATCTTGCAGCCATCGGAAGACTGTGTGAAAAATGTGAGTGAACACGCCCTCCCAAACACCCCACTCCTTCCCCTCACAGTTTGTTTAAAGCCAGCAAACGGGCATTTCCAGCAGTGCCACAAAGAGAGTTTTGGGTAGATGTGCCTGGAAGTTTGTGAACATTGAGTACCAGGCTGCAACCAAAGCCCTCTCCATCTCTCCGTTGCAACTTGCACATTTTAAACATTATGTTTGGGTTTTTGAGAAAATCTGTAGCTTTGGCCAGGAGATAGCCTGACCCTGTCCCCAAACGACCCATACACAGTTCTTTGCCAGTAGTGATGGAGACTTCTTGTCTATGAGGTGATGTTCTAACCTCTTTATATATTAGTTGGTTAACTTACTCGTTGAAGGGATTGAGAGGGACACAGGGTTAGCTGAGTTTTGTAATACCAAAATAGAGAGTCGTAAAGTCACTAGCTGGTGGAGACCACTGTATGTTCCCCATAGCAGGATCAGGTCAGTAGACTTAAGGAGGTACTTGTATGTGGGCGTAATTCCATTCTCTCTTCTTCCCAGGTGATGGCAAGTGTGTGATCTGTGACTCCTACGTGCGTCCCTGCACTCTGGTGCGCATATGTGATGAGTGTAATTATGGCTCTTACCAGGGGCGCTGTGTGATCTGTGGAGGCCCTGGAGTCTCGGATGCCTATTATTGTAAGGAGTGCACCATCCAGGAGAAGGATGTGAGTGTACACTAAGCTTTCCATCTGACCTTTGCTGCTTTTATTTAGTAACTCTTGCCAACCAGGGCAAACTCCTATGGCTCATAGAGATTACTATGTTCAGCTAGGCACGCAGGTTATAATTTCCTCAAGTTCTGTGAGGTCAGCTGGGTGTCGTCCAATAAAAGGCAGTTATTTTGCATCAAGGGCTGAAATGCAACAGAAACAAAACTTTGTCAACGTCAGCAATTTGGAGAGCCCTCTCTCTACTCCTTTGATGTCTCTCTCTAATTATTTTTTTTTAAGAAGCTTATTTATTTGACAGATCACAAATAGGCAGGGCAGGGGGGAAGCAGGCTTCCTGTTGAGCAGATAGCTTGACTCGAGGCTCGATCCCAGGACCCTGAGACCATGACCTGAGCCGAAGGCAGAGGCTTAACCCACTGAGCTACCCAGGCACCCCTCTGATTATCCTTCTTCAGAAACAATATCCTGCCTTTGTGAGTCCAGGCACAGTGCACAGTAGGTAATAGCTGCTGTCATTTTCTTTCCTATTGTGAAAGATTGTTTGAGTGGATGTGGTGACAGTTGAATTTGGGACACCTCAAGTTGATTTCCACTTTTACTCGCTAAAGAATGCCTTTGGGCTGATAGTGCAGGATTGTGATTCTGTCTCGTGACATTTTTGCTCCTTGACATTTTGTAGTGGCGGTGGCTACTTATTCAATTCCTTTAGTCAAATGCCAGGATAGGGGGCTTGTAGATCTATAATAAAAGCAAGTTTTACTATTTTTGTTTAGGTTGGAAGCAGGAGCCTTCTTAGAGGGTGGGGACTGTGAATCTGCTTGTTTTCTTCTTATGTATGACACACTAAAAAGTGTGGGGACGCCCGGATGGCTCAGTTGGTTAGGCGTCTGCCTTCGGCTCAGGTCATGATCCCAGGACCATTTATTAGCTGAGTGACAGACTGTAAAATGGGGATTACATGGGACACCTGGGTGGCTCAGTCAGTTAAGCATCTGCCTTTGCCTCAGGTCATGATCCCAGGGTCTTGGGATAGAGTCCCACATTGGGCTCCTTGATCTCCTTGATCAGCGGGGGGCCTGCTTCTCTCTCTCTGCCTGCTGTGCCACTCCTGCTTGTGCTCTCTCTCTGACAAATAAACAAAATCTTTAAAAAAAAATTTTTTTTAAGTGTCATAATAGTATCACTAATAGAAGGTCCCTGGTTACCTAAATCTAGGGTAAGGTAAAAGATACATGAGGGATGCCATGGTGGCTCAGTAGAATGAGGAGCCAACTCTTGGTTTCAGCTCATGTCATGATCTCAGGGTCCTGGAATCTAGCTGGGGTCAGGCTTGCGCTCAGCAGGAAGTCCGCTTGAGGCTTCTCTGCCCCCCGCTCCTCCCCCCTCTCATGGGGGCACATTCTCTGTCAAATAAATAAATCTTTTGTTTTTTTAATTCTCTCTCTTTTTTTAAGATTTTATTTGACACAGAGAGACCAGGGGTGCTCCTGTGCACACACAGGTGCGTGCCTGCACAACAGCCCCAGCAGGGGGAGCTGCAGAGGGAGAGGGAGAAGCAGGCTCCAGGATGAGAGGAAGCCTGGGACTGGATGGCAGGATCATGACCTGAGCTGAAGGCAGACGCTCAACTGACTGAGCCATAGAGGCACCCCTCAAATAAATCTTAAAAAAAAGATACATGATTCTTAACATTCCCACGTACACAGTAGATAGTTTATAGATGTCATCCTTTATTCTTCACAATAACTTTGTTAAATAGGGATTATTGTTATCCTTTTTCTTTTTTCTTTTCTTTTTTTTTTTTTTTTTGGTTTTTATTTATTTATTTATCAGAGAGAGAGAGCGCAAGCATGGGGAGCAGCAGGCAGCGGGAGAAGCAGGTTCCCTGCTGAGCAAGGAGTCCCATGTAGGACTCTATCCCAGGAAGCCAGGATCATGACCTAAGCCAAAGGCAGACGCTTAACTGACTAAGCCACCCAGGCGTCCCATGTTATCCCCATTTTACAGTCTGTCACCAGCTATTAAATGGCAGGTGCAGATTGTCTGACTAAAGCTCGTGGTGTCCCCATTACACCTTGTCATCCTTTCCTAAGTCCTTCTGGGAGGATGTGCCTATGTTGAGTAGAAACACCCAGCCTCCTGAGTCTGTATATTTGGAGCCGTCTAGCCCCAGGAAGGGGGACGTATCTGGCCAGATGAAACTGTTTCTTACAACATTATGTCTTCTAATTTTTTAGGGAGGTGAGAAAGGACATAGATAAACTACCAAAACCATAATTTCAATTGGTCATTTGAACATTATCCTGTCCTGAACTCTGATTTGCATTTATCTTTGTGTGTCAAAGCATATCTCTGTCCATCTGACCCACCAACTGGGTTGTACCCCTTTAGAGAAAGGACCTTGGTTTCGCTATTTCTCTCTCTTTTCCCACGTTCTTGGTATAGTGTCTGGTATGTATTACAAGCATGGTCCACATTTCGGTGCTTCCTCTGTAAGCCATCCATAGTAGTGCCCCATGTAAAGTGTCTGGTATACAGTAAGTATTTGATATTTATAATCTGTAAGCAGTGAAACCACAGGAAGGCAACAGCAACGATGAGAAAACATGAATAGGTCTTAAACTAGCTCCAGAGTCCATAAGGACAACATTTTTTTGAACGTCTACATGCTTGTAGCTGGAGTTCTTGTCTGGAATAAGCTTGTAATCAGAGTGCTTAATAAATGTTAATTACTGTCTGACTTGTCTGCATGTGGTACGTGAACTGATACCTTTGGATCTTTGTGCTTCATTCCGTGCCTGAGAATTATTCTAGACATCACTCTGTCTACTTCACAATGTACAGGAGTGTTCTGAGGATACTTGAGACGGTATCTACCTTACGTTTATTCAGCAGTAGTTTCCAGAGGACACAGAGCACTTTAGTGACATGATCCAGCCTCTCAGCCTACAGATCTTCATGGAGATTAAGTCCCTCAGACGTTTTTCCTAGGCAGAAATCCTGCCATCAAAGCAAGCCAGAGTTCTCATACTCCTTCTTCTTCCTGCCATTTTCATAATTTATAAGGGAATTAGACCCGTCGACTAAATGGGTTTTCTCACTTAGTTTTTCAGCATCAAGAATACTCAGGAGTCCTGTCTGGGGCCACTGCTGCCAGAGGACTCATTTGTAGTTTCTACAGTGCAGCGTCATACTGATCTGATGTCTCCTTACCCCTCGATTTATCTCTTTTACTTACATTTTCTTCAGCTCTCCCAGCCAGAAGACAAGGAGAATAGCCACTAACATTCGTGTGTGTGTGCGCGCGCGCGCGCACGCGCGCCCCAAACTGTGCTGAATGTTCTTTTCCAACAGGTCTTTGTGATACAAATGAGAAAACTAAAGCTTCCAGATGTTAAGCAACTTGGCCCAAGGTCACATGGCTAATCAGTGGCAGATCCAGGCCTAGAACCCAAGTTGTCTGGCTCCGTGTTTCTCAGGTTTTTCAGTTCACTATTGCCTCCCCACCCCCAAGAGAAAAGTTAAAATTCAAATTATATTTTCCCTCTAACGAGAGAAATTAAGTCCTAAGGAATAAGATTTCATTGGGTGAATATAAACACCAACTGGTAATATTGAAGATGGTTTTATCACCTTTAAGAATTGGGTGGTCAGGGGCGCCTGGGTGGCTCAGTGGGTTGAAGCCTCTGCCTTTGGCTCAGGTCATGATCCCAGGGTCCCGGGATTGAGCTCCATGTTGGGCTCTCTGCTCAGCGGGAAGCCTGCTTCCTCCTGCCTCTGCCTGCCTCTCTGCCTGCTTGTGATCTGTCTGTCAAATAAAAAAAAATAAAAAAAGAATGGGTGGTCAAAGTCAAAGCATTTCCTCAAACCAGCGCACTGTGTTGCTCTTAGGGTGGTCAAGGATGTGCCTCTCCCTCTTGCTATTTACATCATTCTCTTCCCCCTGTTTAGTGAACAGCAGAGCCATTAGACTGAAAAAAAAAGACACTTGGTACTTTTCCAAAATTAATTCAGAAATTTACCTCCTTTACAACTACTACTACTTTTTTGGGGGGTGTTAAGATTTCCTTTGTTTATTTGACAGAGATCACAAGTAGGCAGAGAGGCAGGCAGAGAGAGAGAGGAGGAAGCAGGCTCCCTGCTGAGCAGAGAGCCCGACGTGGGGCTCAATCCCAGGATCCTGAGATCATGACCTGAGGCGAAGGCAGAAGTTTTAACCCACTGAGCAACCCAGGTGTCCCTATAACTAAGATCTTTAAAAAAAAAAAAAAGAAAAAAAAGATTTTATTTATTTGAGAGTGGGAGCACAAGAGAGCGGAGGGGCAGAGGGAGAAGCAGACTCCCCACTGAGCAGGGAGCCTGAAGCAGGGCTCAACCCCAGGACCCCAAGATCATGACCTGAGCCAAAGGCAGAAGCTTTAACCCACTGAGCCAACCAGGCGTCCCCCAAAAGTTATTTTTATCTTCAGTCCCTCTCAGTTCAGACTCAGAGGCTTTTAACAACTTCTCTATCCTGTTTTCCAGAGAGATGGTTGCCCAAAGATTGTCAACTTGGGGAGCTCTAAGACCGATCTCTTCTATGAACGCAAAAAGTACGGCTTCAAGAAGAGGTGATTGGTGGGTGGCCTCCCCACCACCAGCACAGAGGGAGGAGAGCCCTCATCCACGGGCCCCCCTCCACCTTTCCTCCTCTTACCCAGACATGTGATAGCGACAGAAAAGGGATCTTCAGACCCCACTCTGGCAGACCAGAGCGGAGAAAAATTGATAGATTGGCTCATGGTTTTTCTTGAATTCAAGAAAAAAGCATGTTTTCCAAATGGCTGTGTTCTCTCTACACTAAGAGCTGCTGCTGCTGCCGCTTCTTTAACACCAAGAGCTTCTGAAACAGGAATGATACCATCTCGGTCTCCTGTTGGAGGAATTAACTTTGACGCTACCGCAGTGAGAAGCCTGTTCTTCGCAGCAGCCCTGACGGAGGAGACATCTGCCGGGTGGGGGAAGCTCTCGAACAATCAGCGTGGGCACTGAGTTTTGTAACACTTAGCAGGTGCCGCCTGTTCATGTTATTTTCCTTCTAAGAACTTGGAAACCCTTTCTGTTGCTGTTGTGTTAATAAAGCAGGTGTTTCTTTTCTGGTACTCGGTCACAGTCCCAATTTAAGTTTGGCTCTAGGAATTTATTTTAGTCACCCAGGAATTTGTGATTCAGGATAGACGTCTTGGGATTCATCAACCACCGTGTTTTCCTAGTATTGCTGGAAGGGATTCTGAACCATCGGTGCCCTTTGTTATAGGTAAATCAAGGTTGTTTTTAGAAGCTATTTTTTTCTTCCTGTTCAACTTTAATTTGAACTGAAGAAATAACTTCTGATAATGGTCGCAGGAATGAGACAAAATGTATTCAAATTGATGAGTTCAGAGAACAGAAATTGGTCGATTCATTATACAAAGTGGACATATACTTACATATATGTCTCCCCCCTCCTTTTTTTAAGTAAATACACAGAATAAGGGCAAATCCAGACATACTCTTTACCCTAAGACATCTATACGTTTTGCCTACTAGAGGTCATCAGCAGGTTATCCGAAAGAGGCACAAACATAATTTGAGGTTTAAGTCAAGTGGTCTTTAACACCATGGACTTGAAACACATTTTGAGTCCTTAGGAATACTGCGGTTTAGTCCAGAGGTTACACTAAAATTTAGCAGCGAAGCCAAGGAAAAAAATTACAGTCTTCTGACCATTTGTCAGAGCTTTGGTTAGGATCAACAGAACACCTGATTGATTAATTGGGATATATTGAGGGTCAAAAATTAAAATATAAAATAATCTCTGCCTTCAAGAAGTTTCATGATGAGGGGCACCTGGCTGGCTCAGTAGGTTAAAGCCTCTGCCTTCAGCTCCAGTCATGATCCCAGGGTCCTGGGATCGAGCCCCGCATGGGCCTCTCTGCTCAGCAGGGAGCCTGCTTCTCTCTCTCTCTCTGCCTGTCTGCCTACTTGTGATCTCTCTCTCTCTGTCAAAAAAAAAAAAAAATCATGATGAAGGCAGCCAGCAACAACTTAGAATAACCCAGGGAGGATGCCCAAAGGAAGTTTCTTAGCCCAGGTGGGGGCACCTCTGGAAAACCAGTGGAAGGTCATAGCCACGGGGAGGTAACGATAAAGCTTTACCACCTCCTCTCCTACCACTCTTCACACTGTAGCCACTGGGGCTCATTTCAGTTCCTCAACTGCTGGTTCCCTTGCCGCTCAGTACTTTTTACCTATTAAGTGCTCTCTAATGCTTGGTGCCCCTTTTGTCTAGGTGTTACACATCCTTCGGACCTTAAATATTTCCTCAAAATATGCCTCTCCTGACCCCAATCTAAGTTCATTCCTCTTGTAATACCACATAGCACCATAGCATTTTGTTGATGGTGTTTGGCGATTTTTTTTTTTTAAGATTTTATTTATTTATTTGACAGAGAGACACAGGGAGAGGGAACACAAGCAGGGAGAGTGGGAGAGAGAGAAGCAAGCTTCCTGCAGAGCAGGAAGCCTGATGCAGGGCTCAGTCCCAGGACCCTGGGATCCTGACCTGAGCCGAAAGCGGACGCCTAACAACTGAGCCACCCAGGCTCCCCGGTGTTTGGTGATTACTGACAGTCTCCCATTAGGCTGGCTCCATGGTGGCAGTAACCAACCTTTCGGCCCAGCAGGCAGCAGCTCCCCAGTATTAAATGAGTAACTGAAGTCAAACTGGATAATAAACTGGGCTTTGAAGGATATATTGGAATCTACAGGCAAAGGGGGTGGGGTGGGCATTTGTGTGGGGGAAGCAACCTGAATGGGCAGTGGGTTTGGGGAGCTCTCTGAGCAATCCTAAAGTGTGGGTCAGGAGGATTATGGTGTGTCAAAATTGTAGAAACCAGGTAATTTTCAGGTTAGAATTTGTCACTGATGGGGCGCCTGGGTGGCTCAGTGGGTTAAAGCCTCTGCCTTCGGCTCAGGTCATGATCTCCCTTCCTGGGATCCAGCCCCCGCATCAGGCTATCTGCTCAGCAGGGAGCCTGTTCCCCCACCCCACCCCACCCCGTCTCTCTGCCTGCCTCTCTGCCTACTTGTGATCTCTCTCTCTGTCAAATAAATAAATAAAAATCCTTTAAAAAAAAAAAAAGCTAATTAAAAAAGAAAAGAATGTGTCACTGATCCTAAAGTAATTTTAGTTTTAATGTGTACTGTAAGTCAAGATGTTTTGTCTGGATAAAGACAAATCAACTTTCAAAATTTTCTTCTTAACCCCCCTGGTCCATATAACATCTTGCATTTGCAAATTTATCAAAAGCTACTCCTTAGTTTCAGCAAAACACCACTTCAGGGGTGCCTGGGTGGCTCAGTGGATTAAGCCTCTGCCTTTGGCTCAGGTCACGATCTCAGGGTCCTGGATCTCGAGCGGGGAGCCTGACCCCCGCCCGCCTGCCTCTCTGCCTACTTGTGATCTCTGTCAAATAAGTAAATAAAATCTTAAAAAACAAAACAAAACAAAAAAAAACCCACTTCAGCTGTGCTCCATCAGCCTCCGTGAGCGAACCTCTGAAAGGTACTGCAAGTTTAATATGAATGCCCAATTTCAAGGGCATACCCCCTCCATGCTCCGTTGCTTAATAGGGCAAGTTCAACCTCAACCCAGTGAATTCTAATGCACTCTGCTCCTCTGTCACCTACTTTCGTAATCCCATTCTTGGTTTGTTTCCTTTCCAAGGCCAAGAGAACAATACAATGAATGAGTTCTGAACACCTGTGATCAAGTGAATGGCCCTGAAGTTCAAATCCTTAATTGTCCATTTTGTAATTTCAAGTTCAGTCCTCTTCAATTTTAAAAATTAGGATAATAACAGTACCAAATTATCTGCTGTTGGGAAAACATAACTTACAAACGAATTTTAACCTCTAACACTATATATACAATTCTGTGGAGAAAATTAGAAAATTATCTCAGCCAACTGTGTATGTCTACAAAAAATCAAAATGGTCTTAAAAATTATTAAGTGCTTGGGGCACCTGCGTGGCTCAGTGGGTTAAAGCCTCTACTTTCAGCTCAGGTCATGATCCCAGAGTCCTAGGATCAAGTCCCACATCAGGCTTTCCGCTTGGTGGGGAGCCTGCTTCCTCCTCTCTCTCTCTGCCTACTTGTGATCTCTGTCTGTCAAATAAATAAATAAAATCTAAAAAAAAAAATTCTCTCCCTCTACTCCTCCCCACCTCAAAAAAAAAAAAAAAAAGCACTACCTAAAAAATAAGCATACCTGCATAGGTCTAGTTGAAATAATTGAACTCATCATGGTCAGTCTGAGAAAGCAGTGCCCTTTCCCAGATTTATGGTATTACTATTATTTATTAAGTATTCAGTATTTGATATTCATTTCTAGGTTTTAAAAAGGATGGGTGTCCTCCAGTTTCTCAAGTATACTGTACTTAATTTCCTTTAAACATTACACTTATTCCATGTGCTCTTGCTTTTAAAAAAAAGTGGGGCACCTGGGTGGCTCAGTTGGTTAACTCAGTTGACAGCCTTCAGCTCAGGTCATGATCCTGGAGTTCCAGAATCCAGTCCCCCATGTTGGGCTCCCTGCTCAACAGGGAGTCTCTTTCTCCCTCTGACCCTGCCCCCCTCATGCTCTCTCTCTCTCTCTCAAATAAATAAATAAGATCTTTTTAAAAATTAATTTTTTGGGGAGCCTAGGTGGCTCAGTGGGTTAAAGCCTCTGCCTTCGGCTCTGGTCATGATCCCAGAATCCTGGGATCAAGCCCCGCATTGGGCTTTCTGCTTGGCCAGCAGCCTGCTTCCTTTCCTCTCTCTCTGCCTGTCTCTATGCCTACTTGTGATCTCTGTCTGTCAAATATATTAATAAAATCTTATAAGAAAATTATATTTTTTTAAGTAATTAGAAGTGTGTGGGCCGGGGTGCCTGGGTGGCTTAGTTGTTAAGCATCTGCCTTCGGCTCAGGTCATGATCCCAGGATCCTAGGATCGAGCCCACATCAGACTCCCTGCTTCCTTCTCCCTTTCCCACTGCTCCTCCTTGTCCTCACTCTCTCTCTGTCAAATAAATATATTTTTTTAAATGAGTGGGATTTATAATCAGACCTGTACTTGAATTCTGCTCTGCTGTCCATCTTTAGTGAGTCATTTAGCATCTCTTTGCTTCTTTTCTTTTTTAATCTATTAAATAAGGATAGGGACACCTGGGTGGCTCAGTCAGTTGGGTGTCTGCCTTAAAACTCTAGTCATGGGGCGCCTGGGTGGCTCAGTGGGTTAAGCCTCTGCCTTCGGCTCAGGTCATGATCCCAGGGTCCTGGGATCGAGCCCCACATCGGGCTCTCTGCTCAGCAGAGAGCCTGCTTCCCCCTCTCTCTCTCTCTCTCTGACTGCCTCTCTGCCTACTTGTGATCTCCGTCTGTCAAATAAATAAATTAAAAATCTTTAAAAAAAATTGACCTTATAAGTTCCTTACCCTTATTGGGGAAGTCTTCACATAAATGGTAATTTTTTTTCCAGTAGGTTCCTACTTTTTCATAGGTACTCATTTAAGTCCTGGCATGGAAGGGCCTCAAAATGGTTCCCTCTTCCCTATCCCCAAGATTTTCCTTATCTCGCTTCTCTCTGAGCTCTTCCATCAGGCAGTTAAAGGGACATTCCTTGCCCATATCCTGTCCTCTTGGCTCTCTATTTCCTTTGTTCGAAATAGCCTCCCACAATCACATGAGCCAGCCAGCTGGGTACCTCTTCCTTCTAAGCTCCTGACAGCTCATGAATGTTTCCAGATGCACCATACCCCAGAACAATCTCTCCCACTTGGACTATTCAGGCCTAGTACACGCATTTAACAGAAATAAATTTCATGAAACAATCTTTACTATGTAAACACACTCCAATATTTTCATTTTATTCCATCCTATTCTAAAATTTGTCTGAAATCCACTAAGCCAAATGATTCCATGACCCCACTGACGATTGTGAATCACAACCCAGAGTTTAACAACAATGAACTAGGTAAGATCCTTTAACTCCTTCTGCCTCTCCCACCACTGCAGGGCAATCACTCAATTATTTATTACATTAAACTGAAAAATGGGTCACAAATTCAAGAGTCTGAGTGAGCAGTATAATTGATTGAAAACAGAGGGGTGTAAAAGATACCCCAATACCACAGGATGAGATGATAGGTGGCATATGACCCTTGGCCTCAGTGTCTGGGATACGAGAGAGTGGTGAGGACTTGGGGAACCCAAGAATATAGGCTCGGCCTTAAAGCAGGCAGCTGCCATTCAACTCCAGGCAATTGCCAGCTTGGATGCTCAGTTCCTATGAATTCAGGAGAAGTAGCAAATGGAAATATCTTTGTGCAATCTCCCAATTTTTAAATGTCAACTCATTTTATTTATTTTTAAAGATTTTGTTTGTGAGAGAGAGCAGGAGAGGGGAGAGGGTCAGAGGGAGAAGGAGCCTCCCCTCTGAGCAGAGAGCCTAATGTGGAACTTGATCCCAAGATGCCGGGATCATGACCTGAGCCAAAGGCAGGCGCTTTACCGACTGAGCCACCCAGACGCCCCAAATGTCAACTCATTTTAAAAAATGTTAATGTGTGAAAAAAAAAAATGTTAATGTGTGGGGCGCCTGGGTAGCTCAGGGTTAAACCTCTGCCTTCAGCTCAGGTCATGAAAGCAGGGTCCCGGGATGGAGCCCCGCATCAGGCTTTCTGCTCGGCAGAGAGCCTGCTTCCCCTGCTCTCTCTGCCTGCCTCTCCGCCTACTTGTGATCTCTGTCAAATAAATAAAATCTTTTAAAAAAATGTTAATGTGTTAGGGGCGCCTGGGTGGCTCAGTGGGTTAAGCCGCTGCCTTCGGCTCGGGTCATGATCCCAGGGTCCTGGGATCGAGCCCCACATCGGGCTCTCTGCTCGGCGGGGAGCCTGCTTCCTCCTCTCTCTCTGCCTGCCTCTCTGCCTACTTGTGATCTCTGTAAAATAAATAAATAAATAAAAATCTTAAAAAAAAAATGTTAATGTGTTAGTATACACCAAGACAATACGTCCACCAGGTGTGGACCCTGGCCTGCCAATCAGCAGCTTCTAAATTAGGATTAGGGGTGCCTGGGTGCGCCCGTGGTCGAGTGGCCCAGTCTTGACTTCAGCTGAGGTCATGATCTCGGGGGTTGTGAGATCTAGGCCCCCATCTGCTTATGCACTAAGCTCAGAGTCTGCTCTGGATTCTCTCACCCACTCTCCCTCAGCCCCTCCCCCACACCCCCCTCAAATAAATAAATAAATAAAATCCTTAAGATTAACTAGTTTGGAGTTTTTTATTTATTTTTTAAATTTAATTTAATTTTTTAAAGATTTTATTTATGTATTTGACAGACCGAGATCACAAGTAGGCAGAGAGGCAGGCAGAGAGAGAGAGGGAAGCAGGCTCCCTGCCGAGCAGAGAGCCCGATGCGGGACTCGATCCCAGGACCCTGAGATCATGACCTGAGCCGAAGGCAGCGCTTAACCCACTGAGCCACCCAGGCGCCCTTGTTTTGTTTTTTAAAGATTTTCTTTATTACACCGAGAAAGGGAACACAAGCAGGGAGAGTGGGAGAGGGAGAAGCAGGCCTCCCTGCAAAGCAGGCAGGGAGCCCGATGTGGGGCTTATCAACTCCATCCCAAGTGGCCCGCTACCACCAAGGTTAAAATGTTACTTTCTTTGAACACTGCAGTTTCAGTGTCCCAGCAAACCTTTAGGGAGCTTTGTTCTCTCACCTCATTGGTGAATAAAGAGCGAACCACTTGCCCTGCATCCAGATACTTCTCTGAAGCCAGTTTTGTTGGGGTTGTCTTTGCTTCTGCCCAGCTGGATCAGGGCTTCTGAAAAAATCAAACATGAGGAGCTATTTTCTTAGATAACACAAAAGGAAGTACAAAATTGTTCACCCTGGCATGCGTGTACGAGAGAGTGACTCACCCCTGAGAGTTAATTGGGGTTAATTATTACCAACCTGACTTGTCAAGGCAACAAAACATCTGGTGTAACTTACTCTCAGACAGGGGAGTTGCTTCTGAAGCTCACCACGTTGAAAACACGGTGTGTACCTTTCAACCTATCATTATCTAAAATGGGAGAGGACTGTGGAATGCTCCAGTGGAATTAAGCTCACAATTAGGCCCTGGCAAGATGAAGTCACACACCGAGGAGAGAAAACGTCCTCTCTCCTCCTCACCACGTGACAAGTGGAGACATCAGCAGTTAAGAATGGTGATTACCTTTTGCCCCTCTATTTTATCCCTTCCTATATATGCCAACCCTTTACCCAGAGCTCCCAACTGCCAAGGAGGCTGGATTTCTCAGTTTTGTTTTAGTTAAGTTGCTCAGGCCTGGTGTGTCTCCAGCACTGCAGGGGAAATTAGAACAAAAGCACGAACACGCAGAAATCCTATGTCTTCTGTCCAGGGATTCTGTGCGCCCTCCTTCAGCCTGCACTAAATTTAGGTAAGAGACGTCTACCCTTTATCTACTTATATGGACTCCATTCCTCCTTCCTGAGATGCCCTAGGAGAATTCGTTTCCGCTCACCCTAGCCTTTCTTTCTCATCATTCTGTATACTAAGGTTTCTTGCTCAGGAATACATACCGAACCGTGCACAGGGTACGCAGGAGGCAATCTGGCCTGAACGGTCATCTTTAAATTAAGGATACCAACTATTTGAACCATGCTTTACATCCTGTATCATATTTAATCCTCACACGGTCTCCATTTTAAGAACAGGAAAGTACGTTTGATGAAGTAAAGAGATTTGTTACACATTAAATCAAGATAACACGGTTGGTGGACACAATTGGGATTCAAAACCATTTCTCCCTCTCATGACTTCAAATACCAGCATCCTTTGCAGCTCCCCACTGCGCAAACGCACACTTTTCCCAAGGGCCCGGCGCCAGTGCTTTTGGCCCCAGTTCTTAATCCTAGCGGTGGGATGGGAAACCCAATCAGAAGCCGCCTCTCCCTGCTCGCCGACCAACCGGAAGGCTGTTGCTAGCACCCCGGTTATATTTTTAGCTCTTCAGTGCTCTGGCACCCTGTGGGTCGGCCGGGTTTCACTGCTCGCGTGGAACACGCTAGGGGAGAGCGAGGAGCGATGGGGAGGGGAGGGAGGTGGAGAGGGAGGAAAAAGGGGAGGAGTGGAGTGGGGCAAAGCGGAGGGGGGCGTATATGTGACGCTCTGCCAGCCGCTGACGCACGAGGCAAGTAGTCCCTGGAGGTGCCTCAGGGGTTGAAGCGCTCACAGTGTGGGGGATGGGGGGGTTTCGGGCTTAGGCTCCCTCGCGCCTCCCTGTCCCCTTGGAGTTTGCCCTCCAGTCCGGCGTTTTTCTGCTGCAGTTAAGGAAAGCGCTTTTAAACCCCCACACTACCTTTTTCTGGCTTTGCCAGAAAAAGTGACCGAGTAACAAACATGCAAACTGTTCGTAGTTGGAAACTTTCAGATTTCGCCACCCCACGGGGGTTCGGAGACTGCCGAAGGGCTGGAACCGTCTGGAATGAGAATAAAGGTCAGGGGTTGGGGAGAGAATTGGGGAATGGGGGTCTGGGCAGAGGCCTTAACGCGCAAACTCCTAGAGGCTCCGCTCCTCGCCACCTGGCAGTCGGGTCCGCCTGTGACCTCACCTGGGCACAGGCCTCCCTACCCTCAGCTCCGCGCCCCGCAGTCACAAAGTGACCGAGCGCGCGGACCTGGCGCGCCCGTTCAGGGTCAGGGGGCCTTGGTCTGCAACCCCATGGACCGTCGGGTGCGTGAGCCCGGGGCCCCTGGCACAGGGAGGCGCCACAACCCGCCGGCGGGTGCTCCTATATAGAAGAAACGCTGCTCTCCCTAGTCCTCTGTACGGTGGTTGCAAACGAGAGGACGCGCAGCACGGCTGAGCCCCGCCCGGGGCGGACCGGGGGCGCGCGAGCGCGCCTGCGCGGAACCGGTGTTGGCCTTCGGCCGCGAGGTAATCCGGGAGCCAGAGGTGACAAGTAGAAGGTTTATGTGGCGCTAGGCTTCTTTTCCCGGCCTACCGGCCTCTCTCGCCTCCCCTTCCTCCCGCTCAGCGTGCCCAGACCCCCGTTTCCCCTTCGCCCTCCCTTCGACGTTAGCACCCCCACCCGAGGCAGGGGGCGCTCGGAAGACTCGAGCCAACCTGAGTTAATAAAAGGAGTGAAACCTCTTCCAAGCTCTCGCCATCCCTTTAGCTCCCGCTCCCGCCAAGGATGATAACTGGGGCGGTGCGAGAGCCATGGGGGTGGTCGGCCAGTCATACGCCCAGACCCGGAGGGACTCGCCGAGGTGGCCCCGGGGGACGCGCCGGACGAACCGCGCTGGGGCAGGTGCAGGGCCCAAGGGAGCTGGGGGAGGGAGTTTCCCTCCCCGCGACATCCATTCATTTCACACATTTAAAGTGAACCACCCGGTTCCAGTCCAGGACCTGCCCTCCGGCAGCTCGCTGTCTACCTGGGGAAACATTGTACCCGATGAGCACGCTTTCAGAGTGGTTTGGGGCATGAAGAAAATAAACGGCACGGCGCCGTGATGGGGCGGGGAGGCGGGCATCATCAGACCGGCTAAAGGCGGCCTTGTTGGCATTTGGGCTGGGATCTGAGTGAGAAGAGGCCGGCCACAGGAGGGCTGGCGGAAGGAGGGGTCCCCGGGAACCCCCAGGTGGGCAGGGGGCGCAGGAGACCGCGCTGCCATAGGGGTTAAGCCGCCTGGCGGGCTGCGAAGTAGTCCCGGCCCGGCGCCCGGCCCCGCCCCTGCAGGGCGGAGGGACGCATCACGCAGGGGTGGGGAAGCAGGATCCGTGCGCAGGGTTGCTAAGGGTGAAACTTTTCATTGACTTTGCTCACTTCGGGCCGGGGCGCGGGAAGGTGCGGGTCCTCGCCGGAGAGAAGCGAGTGGTTTGGGCGACGCGGGGCCAGAAGGGCAGGACCGCCCGCGATACGAGCCGCCCTCCGGTCCGACATCCCCGCGCCGTCGCCGCCGGCCGGCCCGCCCGCCCGCCTTCCGTCCCCTCTCCGCCGAGCCTGACCTCCAAAAAGCTGAAAGAATTATTATTGAGAGTCATAGCCCCAAACTCCCTCACTTGCCCCCCCCAACCCTCAACGAAGAAAAGGACCCATCAGCCTCCTGTCCAGCAGCGCCCAGAAAGGAAGAGCGACATCCGCCCCGCGCCCAGGACCACCCTGGAGGAAGAAGCCAACCAGCCACCGCGGAGACCCGAGTGAGTGAGCGGGGGTGTGCGGGCGGCGGGGACCCCTGAGACGCCTTCTCCCACCCCCGTCCCAATCCCGCTCTTTGCTTTGCTGCACGTTGCTGTCGTGCCTCCACCTCGAGGACTGGCTAACATTTTCCTTTCCCCTTCCATCTCCCCTATAGAACCCCCCACCCTTTCCCCGGTGCTCCTCTCCGCTCGGTGTTCTGAGTGTGGCCCCCTCCTGGGTGGGGTGCATTTCCTCCCCTCTCCGCCCCCCTCGTATCGTAGAGACTCGCTAGATTTTTCCTTGTACCACCGGTAAAAGATAACTTCCATCACCATTAAAAAATCAGAGGAAGGAAGGGGAACCAGGCCTTGTTTTTTGCTTCTTTTCCCGTGTGCTGGGAAGGGGGGTGGTGATAATTAATAGGGCTTATTTCTGGCCCTGTGGAGCTGAGGGATAGAAGGTAGACATCCCCTTTTGGACCGGTCAGTGGCGACTGTCCTCCGGCCGCTGAACCAGAATTTACCGTTTTGGCTTTAGTGTTTTAAGGGAAAACTCTGTGGGGGGCGGAGGAAAGTGCCTTTACAGCAATACCAGTGAGTGGATTCTGGTTGATCCCGAGGAGATGCCTGGGAGGAAGAGCCCTACTTCCAAGCTCGTTCTCGTCCTGCCCAGAGGATGGACTGTGTCCTTGACCAGAGAGGGAGGGGAGGACGGGAGCAGAAGGAGGAGGGGCAGCTGGCTGGCCTTTTCCCACCCCGCAGAGGAACCAGAACCCTACACAGCAGGCGCTTGGGCCAGCGGAGGGGGTCTCGGGTGCCTTGCTGAGTGTCTAACCTCTCTTCTTCTCTGTCCTATCCACCCTACCTTGGGAGTGACCCCCCTCATCCTTGATTTTCCAGCAGAAAAACACTCCTATTGCTTTCTTGGGCGCCTGTCCCCATCCCCCTCTTAAGCAGTGGGGGAAAGAAGCTTGTGTGGGAGGAAGGATTAGGGAGGTTTAACACCGTGTAGGGGAGCTTTGCCGAGGATCTGGTAAGTCTGGTCATAGAGCAGGCCTTGCAATGGGAGGAGACTCGCAAACAATTTCAAGTATTAGACTATGTTGTTCGGGTGTCAGATGCACAGTTTTTCCCTCCCTCGCCGGAACCTTTTCCCATTTCCCTAGCTGGGTCTAGTTACTTGGACTTGGATTAGAAGAGGGGTGAGGCTTGGGCCCTGCTGGCTCTGGGCCTTCTGATTTTTGGCCCGGCCCCTCCCCGCAGCTTAACTGGGAATTTCTTTGGCTGAGAGGAGGGAAGAACTGGGTTTAGTTCCTGCCTTTTCTGGCTGTCGGGGTGCTGGAGCTGAGCCCGCCGGGCATTAAGTGAAAAGGCTTTTTTCCTCTTTGAATTCACCGTCCCTACAGCAACTCCAGCCGGAGACCACCCAGCCCAAGGAATACAGATTAAGCGGCAGGGGCGGGGTGGGGGTGGGGGGCGGTGGAGGGATGTGTGACCTTTATCTGTCCCAGCCCACCGTGTTCACCCGGAAAAAAACTCATTAGATGGAGATCCTTAATTGAACAGTCAAGGGAGGCTGTGAAAGGGGGGGGGCAGTTCTGCCTTTCTTGAGACCAAGACGTGAATACGGTGGGGTGGTACAATACGGGGAGTAGGCCTTATGGGTAAATTTATATAAAATGTATTAGGCGGTGGGCGGGGGGGGGGGCGTCCACCACAGCGCGCATGTGCGTCGGAAACTTTTCCTCGGTCCTTCGGACCTCGGCCAGCTCCCCTTACCAGGCATGCGTAATACGCTGGCTGAACCTTCGCAAAGCGCGCAGGGAAGTGTAGTGTGGAGAGAAAGTAGGTCACTTGCTTCTATTTGAGCGTGAGGTGTCGGAAGACTACAGTTCCCAGAGTGCAGAGTGTACCTTCACTGCCGGCCTACGTTGGAGTTCAGTGAAGTCTTCCTGGCTTCACAGGAATCGAGTGCCCCAGAAAGGGCCTTCTTAGTCAGAAGAGTTGGGCTTGCCTGGTCCATGTTTGAGGGACGTGGTCGAGACTTGCGGGGTGTTGCGCTTCGTCCGCACAAGTCCTGGAAGGCCATCAAGCGTACCCGCTGGTCTGGGTCTCTGCCTCTGACACTGGCGGGGTGGGGCCAGGTGCTCCCACCTGGTTCTCACTCCCTGGGATCCGGTGGCCTTAGCAAAATTAAAGACCCCTTCACCCCGACTCCTCTTGCCAGACTCATTTGATTCTGATAGTGCTTGGTTGTAGGATCATTGGATGTTAAGACTTGAGGTGCCTGGATATTTTTATAGGTATACATGGTTTGGGACCTGAGGAGTTCCCTCACCATTATCCCTCCTTTTCCCCCTTTAAAACACTGATTTTCTTCTTAAAAACCTTCCTTCGCATTTTTGTCATAAGCTCTTTCTGGAAACTCCATTACCGTGTCATTGACTGCAGCAACCACCTTTCTTACCCCATTTTTGTCCTTCTCTTAAGCACTCTTTAAAACACAAGTCAGCACAAATCTGAATCCCACATTAATTTTGCTGTTGGGAATAAAAAGTGAAGGAGGATTAGATTCTAATGAAATTGGACAGAACTGACTCTCACATTCGCAACTTTTTGATACATTAACAAAAGGTAGATGTTGCTGCTGTTAAACACTTTCCTGTCTTTGATGTGTTTTGGGGGCGGGGGTTGTTTGGTTCCTCTTGTTCTTGTTTTTACTTTTTGCCACCTTTCTGGCCTTTGGCACCTGAGCCAGGGTTGGAGAAGATCTTAGAGTCCTCTCTTCCCTCTTAACTTGAATCCACTTCTTACTTGTACTGAAGAGTAGTTACTACTAAGCTTTCTAATCTTACCACATTCTATGAATATTTTATATATGAGTATAGAATTTGTCCACTGCCTTAAAAAAAAAAAAAGATGAACAAACTCATCCGAGTGGTCACTCCTATCTTTAGTTAAAGACAAGACAGCACCAGTCCTTTAATCCTCTGTTCCATAAGCTTCTTGAAGTCAAAATTAGAGCCTGAGCTGATAGAGCAGAAAATCTCATTCTGGTTGTCCAGCATTTTTGAAAGGTTCCACCCCACAGCCATCTGGCCGGGCCTGTTCTCCAATTAAAGAGGCAAAGATGGCATTATATGCTTCCTTATTTGTGTGGCAGCATCACTGAGGTAGAAATTGGTGTGCAGCCTTGGTTGCTTATGCTGCAGAAAATGGTTAGCTAGGCAGGGCTGATGACAGTGGTTCTATTGTATTTTGGGGTGGGAGGCTTATTTCCCAATGACTTTGGCCTGCATTTTAAAATGCTCCCATTTTGAAAAGGAAAAAAAAAAAAGGAGAGAGGGAAACAAGCCTTAAAAGACTTAATGATAAGAGAACAAACTGAGGGTTGACGGAGGGAGGTGGGGGGGGGATGGGCTAGATGGGCGATGAGGAGGAAGGAGGGCCCTTGTGGTGGTGAGCACTGGGTATTGTATGTAAGTGATGAGCCACCGAATTCTACTCCAGAAACCAATACTGCATTATATGTTAACTAAGGAAAATCTAATTTTAAAAAAATAGATAAATAAAAATGCTTCCATTTGAGGCTGAACACTTCAGGGGAGGTTGACTGGTAAGGCATGTACGCAGCAAAGGTTGAGGAGGCCTAGAAAGGTGTAGGAGCCCCTTAGTGTGAGTGGTATACCAAGAGGCCATGTGGTGCTTTGGGGAAGTGTCATGTCATATTTAAGTCCGTTTTACTTTTTGAAAACATTGTCTTTAACTCCAGGCCCATCCTTGGGGAACCAGTGCCAACTTTCTTCACAACTTTTTAATCTCCTCCATATTGGACACCTCCGGAGGGCTGCTGTGGCCCTTGTAGACTTCCTCTTCGGGGACGCCTGTAGCCCTGGTGGCCAGCCTTGCATCTGGCGATGAACCCAATCCTTATAAACAGAAAGCCCCCTATCTTTACCATTTTTTTTTTCTCTCTTTAAACCTTCTGGAATTGATCTGTGCTCATGGCCTCTCTGTTGAATCCCCATGTGACCCTCTGCTCAGACCTGAAATGAGGGTGGGGTTAGACTTAGCTAGGGTCCTATGATGTGCCATTCTTCTCTGATATTCACCCAAGAGAGCTTTGCCCAGGGATCCAGTCCTAACAGTACCCCTAGGAGCCATGGCCCTAGTCCAGAGAATTATAAGGAAGTGAGCTGAGCCAGGTACTCAAAAAAGGTACTCAAGACCCCCAAGCCTCAAATTAGCCCCTGAATACTCTCTGCAGGACCCAGAAGGGATTTTAATCAAAATCCAGCTCCAAATCTGTCACAGGACAGAAGAGGCCCTTGATGGATCATGGATTAGTCTTGTCTCTTCGCTGAGCTCAGCAGCACATTCCCACCCGGAGGCCTGGCTGAGAGCAAATTCCGGCCCCGATGACCCTTGAAGAGGGTCCTTCTCAGTCTTCCTACCGCATGACCCTGGAGCTGCCCTTTTGGAGAAAGTGATCACTGGCTCTCAGGACTTTACAGATCATCTTCCTGAGACATGAGGCTGGCCCAGACCTCAGGAGTAAACCTTTTTGACCTCTGTGGGAGCCGGCTGTGAGAGAATCCCAAAATAACAATCTGAGTGTTTATCTTGGGCTGTCTCCTCTCCGGGGATCTCCAGACACTTGAGAAGTCTGATCTGGTGCCAAGGACAGGTGGTCAGATGGTCCCCAGGAGACTGAGTGGTGATGAGTCCCCAGCTGGAGGCTGCAGAGTGGTGGAAAATTTCTTCTCTTTGCCACCCTCATCACTTACCCCCTAGCCAAAAGCCAGAGAGTCCCTCAGGCCACACCAGTGCTGCGCTTAAGGACTTTTCGACCTACGGGGTCCTTGCCTCCGTTCCATTTCCTCTGTTTCCCTGAGACAGCTCCTGGTCAGCGGTCCCTTTTGGCCCACACCTCTGGTTGTAACAGGTCTTGACTTCTTAGAGATCGTGTTCTCCGTTCTTGAAGGCTGCCTGGAGGGAAATGCACCCTCTGGTTACACTGTGTTCTTACATCAGTTCTGCAAACCCAGAGTGAGCCAGAGAGCATGGAGAGCGACGGGGCCCAGGATGACAGACTGGATGTGACTGGAGCCCGAGCCCCCAGTGAAAGGTTGGCAGTGCTGCTTCCTGTTCAGTGATCCATAGCCCTTTCCATTTAAGGAGAAAAACTAAGGACTTTGAACTTATATCTTGGCCTGTGACCATTCGGGATCACGACTTCACCAAGACATTATGGAGATTAGTTAGCAAGAGCTTCCCCTTCTCCAGCTGAATTAGGGTCTTGTTTTTTGTGTGTGTTTTTTTTTGTTTTTGCTTTGGGTTTTGTTTTGTTTTTTTGTTTTTTTTTATAGCAGTTGTATAGTGACTTGGATTCTCAAAACAGTGGAAACCACAGCACACCTGTTTCTTTAGAATTCCTTGCAAAACCATAGCTCATCTTATCAAGTGTCTTCTACGTAGCAGGTTTAGTGCGGGCCAGTTTACATCCTTGAGCTAACTTACTCTTCATGGTAGCCTTATGTCACTGATGAAATTAAGGCTCAGAAGAAAGTGGCATGCCCCCAGCCACACAAGCAAGCCAGTCACTAGTGGAGCAGAAAAGGGGCCCTGAGTCTGCATGATCTAAAGTTGGTGCTTTGCTATCCTTTGCCATGATCTCCCTGCCCCACTCCCGGCCCCACTGGGCTTTCTGCACATCTACTCATAATGCCCTTTGTTCTTGGTTCACAGAGCTGTCTGGAGCCCAAGGCTGCCTACCTTCCATCACCTGCCACTGCCCTGGGCTTGCATACACGTGCCCGAAGCTGATCTGCCACCTCGGAGGGGACCATGCAGCTGGAGATCAAAGTGGCTCTGAACTTTATCATCTCCTACTTGTACAACAAACTGCCCCGGCGCCGGGCAGACCTGTTCGGGGAGGAGCTGGAGCGGCTCCTGAAAAAGAAATACGAAGGCCACTGGTACCCCGACAAGCCCCTGAAGGGCTCTGGCTTCCGCTGTGTTCACATCGGGGAGCTCGTGGACCCCGTGGTGGAGCTGGCGGCCCGGCGGAGTGGCCTGGCCGTGGAGGATGTGCGGGCCAACGTGCCTGAGGAGCTGAGCGTCTGGATTGACCCGTTCGAAGTGTCCTACCAGATCGGCGAGAAGGGGGCAGTGAAAGTGCTGTACCTGGATGACAGCGAGGGCTGTGTCGCCCCAGAGCTGGACAAGGAGTTCAAGAGCAGTTTCAACCCCGATGCACAGGTCTTCGTGCCCATCGGCAGCCAGGACAGCTCCTTGTCCAACTCCCCGTCGCCGTCGTTCGGCCAGTCGCCCAGCCCCACCTTCATCCCCCGCTCTGCCCAGCCCATCACCTTCACCACCGCCTCCTTCGCGGCCACCAAGTTTGGCTCCACCAAGATGAAGAAGGGGGGAGGTGCCGCGAGTGGTGGTGGGGTGACGGGCGGCGGGGCCAGTGGCCCCCAGCCTCCCCAGCCGCAGCCCCGCCTGGCCCGCTCCCCCACCAGCAGCCTGCTGAAGCACAAGAGCCTGTCTCTGTCCCTGCACTCGCTGAACTTCATGGCGGCCACCCCGGCCCCTCAGTCCCAGCTCTCCCCCAATGCCAAGGAGTTCGTGTACAATGGCGGGGCCTCCCCTAGCCTCTTCTTCGATGGGGCCGACAGTGGGGCCAGCGGGGCCGGCTCATGCAACAGCAGCAGCTTAGACGTGGCCCAGGTGTTTGGGGGCGGTGCCAACAGCCTCTTCCTGGAGAAGACACCCTTCGTGGAAGGCCTCAGCTACAACCTGAACACCATGCAGTATCCCAGCCAGCCCTTCCAGCCCGTCGTGCTGGCCAACTGACCACCCGCGACCACAGAAAAGAGAAAGGAAAAGAAAGGCCAAAAAAAGAGGAAAAGAAAAATACACAAAAAGATTTCCAGTCTTCTCACTCTGGCTTCTAGAAAAAAAAAGATCCAGCCCAGGCATGGAGTGGGAGGGGGCTCCTGAAGCAACCCCCTGCTGTTTCCCTGCCTGCCTCTGATTTATTTGGTTGGTTTGGGTTTTATATTTTTTCTTTTTTTTTTTCTTTTTCTTTTTTTTTTTTTTTTTTACGTGTAGTTTTCTATATAACATCTTTAATTAGCGGCTTCCTGTGCTAAGAATGGTCCAGATGTGAATTGCTGCTCCCTGCTCCCTCCCTCCCTCTCCTTCACACGCCTGGTTTAGGATTGGTGTGTCCAAGCTCACAGGGAAGGAAGAGCCACAGCTGGGTCCTGACCCTGCCCACAGCAGGGAGAGGTTGCCCTGTGTCACTGCCTCTGTCCCCCAGCTCTGCTTTCACTCAAAGCCATCCAACCTCAGCAGGCCTTCTGGGCTCTGCCACCCAAATAGGTCTGACCCCAGTCCCCGCTCCCTCTCAGGCCTGAGCCACGGGGAGCTGCTGGCTGTCTACTGGACACCCTCCCGCTAGAGCTGATGTCTGTGGCTCTGGGGAGGTTAGCACTCTGTCTAGTGGAATTGCTTTCATCTCTGTCCTGTGGCCCCACACCACCACCACCACCTCCCTCTCCCCCCCCCGCCCCCCGCTCAGACCCCCACTGTGGCCCTGGAGACCCAGCCGTTGACACTTGTGGCCTCTCTTGCAGCCCCTTCTTCCCTGGGCCTGAGGTTGTGGGGAAGGAGGTGGGGCGGGTGTGTGTGCATGCATGTGCGTGGTTTGCTGTCCTGTTTTAAAGGATTCCAAGCCATGTGAACCCCCCCCCCCCGCCCCCAACATGATTCCAGGTTGTGGGAAGTGCTTATTTACGTAGGAGGTTGGGGAACGGGCCGGGTGGGTTGTCAGTCCTTTTGTAGGGTGGGTCACGTGTTGGCTGAGCCTGAGACACTCCCAGGGGAAAATACTGCAGAAGGAACTGGTTTCCAGACTGCGGAGGGATCTGCACTTTTATTTTTGACCAAAAAAGGGGGGAGATGGCTGTGATGGGCTGAGGGAATACCAGCCTACCAGCCCCTGATGCTGAAGACAAGTCCCCGGACTCAGACCCTCCTGTTTCGTGACCTTTACCCAGGGTGGGAGCTGCTCACCTGAGCACCCTGGGGGTGGGAGTTTGGGGTCAATGCCTAGAGTGGGCAGTCCTGAGCCTTGAACTGAGACTTCTTAGTCCTTTGTTTGTAGATGTTATTTTAGTATGTTTCTGCCCCTGCCGCGTGAGAACTTCTTGGTACCTCTTGCCATCCCCTCACTGCCCGACCCGACCCCACTGGGCCTCGATGCTGTGAGGAGGGGTCTCTCTCGGGCAGGCCGGCTTGGGCAGGTGGTTTGGCCATCGCAGGTGGTATGCGTGGATTACGGGAGCGCAGCGGCTCCCATGTCTGCCAGGAGAGAAGTTTCTCCCACCTGACCCCAGTGAGCCAGCTTCCACGCATGCCGTGATGCTTTGGCTGGTGGGCCACATGGCATCAGGGCCCTCCATCACCAAAAAGTACCAAAGCCCTCGGCACCCCACCCCACCCTCCTCAATGTCCCCAAGTGGGGCGACCGCCGTGGCAGTGGGTCCGGCCCAGACAGACACTGCCAGTCTCCTCCCCCTGCAATGGGCACCAGCTCTACCTCCCCCAGAGGGGCAACGCCCTGGCTCCTCAGCCCAGTATCCTCTGTCCCCTAGATTTCTCAGGGGCCAGCCCAGTCTGGGCTTCCCTCTCCCTAGCCCTCAGCTCCCACACAGGTGACAGGCCCAGGCAGATGGCTGCTCTCTGGGAAAGGTTGGATGCTGCCTTATTTATGCCCTCTTCCGGCCCCCTTTCCCTTACACTCACATACACAGGTACCCACCACCCCCGGTTGGCTTGTTTCTCACCACATCTAGGGAGAGGGGAGACCAACCCCTTAGTGTCTTTTGAAATACGAAGAAAAATGTATGTTCAGGAGCATGACTCCCATGCTGGACTCTTGGGCCCAGTTCAGTCTGTCTCGTCTCAAATCTAGGCATTTTTGCTTCAATTTTATTTTTTTTAAGGAAACAAAAACAAAAACCTGCACTAATTTACCTGGTTTCGTAGGAAAACTTTTTTTTTTTATTTTTTACATTTTTTGGTGTCCATTTGTATTGAATAATTTGCTACATTTGTAAAATGTAAGAGGTATATATAATATATGTATATTTCTAACGTAAAAAAAGTAATTTTTTTCTTTTCAAGATTTTTTCTTAAAAAGAGGAGAGAAACAGATATTTTTTCAGGAAAAACAAACTTTAAAATAAAAAAAGAGGAGAATTAAACCTATCTCCCCTTTCCCTATCCTCTCTGTCTGCCCCTCTTTCCCAGGAACAAATCAAAAGGTGGACCGTTTTGTAAAGAATGTAAAGTTTTAGTCCGGAATGATGTATTTTTCTCAATGCAGTGAGCTATAGATTCTCTAGTTTGACCCCTAGGGATGGGAAGGAGGGCATTGAGGCAATGTGGAGAGGAGCTTGGGGGAGCAGGGTAATGAACTTGTTTTCTTTAGTGAAGGAGGAATACAATCAGGCGTTTTGTATTCAGAATGTTGTGCAATATTTTGGAATGGGACATTGGTGTGTTTAGAGATTTAGTTTAAAAACAAAACAAAAAGATTGATCAAATCTGTACAGTTTATATTGTTCCAGATTTTTTTAAGTTTGTATTAAAAGCATGATCTATAACAGCCTGCTGCCTGCTCCCGGCTGCTTTGACTTGGGGCCCCTGTCAGCTTCAAGAGACGTTGGTCTTCCACACCTCCTGCCTCGGGGTGCCTCGGTGCCCTGGGCCCCTTTTACCCCCTATCGCGTCATCCCAGGACACAGAGTCCCCATTTGGAGGGGTTCTTTTCCACCCCGGAAACCGGTTCCCCGAGGTTGGGAACTGCCCAAGCTCCCTCTGCTGATAGGCTGGGGAGCCATTGCCGGAGCCAAACCTTGCGATTACTTCCCAGCTTTTTTAGGAATGGCCTGTTCTTGGGAGGTCGAGGGAAGGACCAGCCTCCCACCTGCTCTACATCTAGGGTTTTACCTCCCCCAGACTGCTACCCCCTTGGAAGTGGGTAAGGACGAGAAGAGCCCACCCAAATCAGGGTCTGTCCCCAAACCCCGGGCTTGGATTCTTGGCCCTTCTCTAGGCCGGGCAATTGCAGAGTTGCCATAGGGGCAGGAGGGCCTGCGTGGGGCTGGGGAAGAGCTCAGCCGCCTCCCTCTCGCAGGGCCCATCACTGGGGAAACTACTCAGGCGTACCTTATCCCTGGCCGTGGTTCACACGTCAGCCCTGCGGGCCCCCAGGTTGAAGAGGGCGGCCAGGGATTCAAGGAATCTCCTTACCCCCCATGGCAACCTGGTGACAGAGGTGTTACCTCCAGCCTACAACAGAACGGGGCTCCAAGTCTGGATGCACAAGACTAACGGGAAGCTGAGCTTTTGGACGGGACATTCTCACATACAGAGCGGTGGCAGCTGCTGGAGAAGAGTGCCGCTGCCCCGGAGGGGGTGGGAGGGCTGCCTTGCCACCCCCAGCATGGCACAGGGGCCTGGTGGCTCTTCTGGGCCATCAATGGCCCTCATTTCCCAAACAGGCCAACACTGATCCCTCCCCATCCAGGAGGGTGAACGAGGCCTAGAAGCTCTCAGGCCAGGCCTCTAACCTCTGCACAGGGTCCCAGGAGCTCTTGAAGCTTGGCCCCCGTAAGCCACTTCTCCATGGAACACATCAAGCAGAGGGAGTCCCCTGTCCAGGATGCCCAAGACTTTGATGCATGTAAGGCCACTCCCAGGGTTCTCCCCTTCCCCTGTCCTGCGAGGGAGAAACGTAGCCTGTCCCTGTGACCCTGTGGACAGGCTGCCAGCCTACCTGTGGGACCCAGGGCCCGGCTCACACTTATGCTAACAGAAACAAAGTACCCAGCACAGGTCCTGTCACAACAGGTGCCCATGGGGACCCATTCCCACTCCCTGTGCACGTTCTGGAGACCTCTGCCCTGAGAGGCCCCTGCCCTACCAGAGGAAGAAAGAGCATTCTAGTAGACTCAGCTCCTCAGGAAAAAGTCTCATTTACTCACTTGACAAATCCTCCATGAACACCCCCAGTCTGCCCTGGGAGCACAGGTGAGATGGCCGTTACAGGACAGGCGTGCACGGGGGGCCTGAGGACCCGGGGATCAGTAGTTAGAGCGCAGGTTAGCCAGGCACCCCCCCCAAGGGGAGCCATCAGGGGAGAGACTCCTCTACACCCTGAGAAGACGCGGGCTCCAATCCCACCTCAAGCAAACCACTTCACCTACTCCGGATCCTCTGTTCCCTCCCTTCTAAAACGGGGATAATAATTGTACTACTCGTGAAAATCAAATGAAATAAGGAGTGGAAAATGCTGCGCACAGTGGCCGGCCCAGAGTGAACAAGTGTCACCTTCACTGGGGCGGTTCCTGTCTGTCCTCAGACACCACCCGCCAGCCGGCTCCCAGAGGCCTCCTCGCATCAGCAAACACGCCGAAACCCAACCCCGCCGCAGCAGGCCCAGTCTGGGCCTCAAAAGGAAACTCCATCCTCAGAGCAGGGACTAGGCTGGCCACCGCTCCGCCCTCTGCCAAGGTGGGAAGCAGCTTGTCCCCCAGCACTGCCCCCCACCCAGTGCCACAAAGTATGCTCATTGCCTCTTGTCCCCTGCAGGGGCCCAGCCTTGGGCCTTGGGATGGAACCGGTCCTTGACCTGTGTCCCGAAACCTCCTGGGAGTTTCCCTCTGGAGAGCAGATGGGCGGGTTGGTGTGAGTCATGGCAGCAGGAGAACCCTGCTTGGTGGGTCACAGCCTGCCTGACTCGGGGCCTGCCCGCAGGTCAAGGGGATGCCACTGGCTGGTCCTCTGAGTGAGTCAGGGGCGGAGGGGCACACTCTCACCCTCCCTCCTCCTCCCCTTGGGCCTGGCCAGTTTGGCCAAGTCCTTCGTGGGCAGGGCCAAAGGA